AAGATTCTATAAGGTAAATGTACCAATGGCTGGCCAGTTAAGCAGCTTAGCTGAAAAGAGCTCTATAGAAATGATATAAATGAGTAATTTTGATAATAAAATACTCTTGGGTTCTTGAGAACTAATAATTTTGGACACGAGGGAATATAAAAAACTCATCATAAGCCAGTAAATAATTGATACAGTTGAATTGATCAGATATTCACATCGTGCCAATGACTGGCCAAAGTAATTTTTTCATGTACCAATGTCTGAAATCCCATGTTCCAATGCCTGGCCACCTTTTTTATAATGAGTATTATTTAAAAAAACATGCTTATTTAATGAGTTACATGTTTTTTTTTTGCGAATGAGTTTTTTTATACGAATATGTTAAATTGCACGAGTTTTAATAAAAACAAAAATGATTAAAGAGATTTTGTTAAGATTAGTTTTTTTATTACTTTTTCACAAATTTACTGCATTAACATAATCAGGAACATTTTAAAATCATATCGATCATATTGACTAATAGTCATTAATATATAATTTTTGGTTTTCAAATCTTATAAATAACCACGAAAATGTGAGGTTATGTCGGCACTTTTTTGTACTTAATCGAAAACAATCGGCTAATTAACTTTAATTGTCACAATATGTTTCAAATATTATGAATTTGGGTATTTACACATATATATTTAGTCCAAAAATATTCCAAATAAAAATGGTCCACTAGCTCATCAAAACTGCGAAAGTAAAGTTGGCTATCCAACGAATTCGAGATTTCGTGAATAACAAATTTTTGAAAAACAGTCCATAAAATTCACTAATTATTTTTCAATGAGAAGGCTGAATATTCAAACACAGCTTGCAATAAATGATGGAAGGATTTCAAGTTTTTGTGAATAATTTATAGTTTTTACGAATATAGCTGGAACTTATTGCAGGCACATGATAACATCATTCCCAAAGAGGATAAGTGTGCATTTCATCAGTGAAATTATGACAAGGGCTTATTTTTTTCTTGGCTAATGTAAATATTTATAGAAACTTATATAGATTTTTGAGTTCAATTTGTTTCTAAAATCTCAATAAAAATCATGTCTATATGATAATTTTATTTTGCGCGTCGAGACTGCAAGACCTCTGAAAAATTGAATGAGATATTAATGTGGGACATGAAAAGTATAGGAAAAAACAGAAATCAAAGAAAATTTTATATATTGATATATTTATTCAATAAAAAACATGAAAAATGTACAAAAATCAACAACAGCAGTCATTTAAAACCACCAGCTTCATCCTATTCCCAAAATGGCTTAATTTGGTGTCAAGGCATCTCTCACGAGGTCCTCCAGCTCCAGGAACTCGTCTCGCACTCGCCGGTAAAATCTCTTCACCACCTCCTCGCACAGATGTCTGTCGCAGGCCTCGAACAGTGGCCCCGTCGGGAGTCGCCACAATTTTTCCGAATCGGCCAGATTGAAGTACGTCGCGTACGTGACTCATTTCTTCGCCACCTCCTCGGGTCGTAGATACATCAGCTCGTGGAGCGTCAGGTTCGGCCGGACCATCGTCACCTTGGCCATTATCACGAAGACCGTGCTGCTGTCAAAGTGCGGCATCGCGGCATTGGCGGACAATCTGTGAACCAATGCGTTCCGGTTGAACAAAGTCGCGATCGTCCTGGCATCGTTGGCCTTTAAACGGTAGCCGTGCTTTTCCAGCCGCTCCAGGCAGGTCAGCACGCCCGAGGCCAGTTTCAGCCTGTGCAGTCCGACTCGGCGCTTAGCGTGCCACTCGAAGCACTGGTCGAAGTGAGTGTAGCTCGGGAACTTGAAGCCGGACAGATCGTCGTCGAGTTGCAGGAGTCTCTCGACCAGATGAGGCTGATGATTCGCCACGGCCCATTCGAGCGGTGTACGGCACCCCTTGTCCCTGAAGTCGATCTGCACCACACGATCGATTTCGCCGCAGACTCTGAGCAGCGTCTTGGCCAAGTCGTCGGCGGGTAGTCGTCTCCGGCTGATGCAGTGCATGGCGGTGGTTCCTTCGTTGTCGGGCGTGTTGGGATCCGCGCCTCGTCTGAGCAACAGCTTGATCACGTCCTCGTTAGCGTGATACAAAGCGTAATGCAAAGCAGTTCGTCCTTTCAAGTCCCGGGCGTTGACCGGACAGTAGCCGGCCATGGCGTCGAGAATCTCCTCGATCGATTTGCTGTCGTAATTTCTCCGGCACATCAGGTGCAGTGCTGTACATCCCATCTCATCGGCCGCATTCGACTTGGCGCCTTTCTTCAGCAGCAGCAAGGCCGACTTCTTGTCGCTACGGTTCAGAGCCACCAGCAGAGGTGTCCGACCCCAATCGTCCACGGCGTCGATATTGATCGACTTGCTGAATTGTTTGTTAACTTTCAAGAACATCTCTACCAGATCTTCGCGGCTTCTCTTGCAAAGGTCGTGCAAAGCCGTCTCTCCCTCGGCGTTGGTCAACTGTGGATCGGCGCCTCTCATCAGCAGGAAGTGAATGATTTCCTTCTCGCCCCACTGCGCCACCAAGTGCAGAGGCGTTTCGCCCTTTCCCCGGCACGGAAGATTGGAATCTTGGCCGTTGTCGAGGAATTCCTTGACGAATCGCTCGCAGCTCCTGAACATGCACGCCACGTGCAAATGAGTCAAGCCCGACTCGCTCGCGTAGTTCGCGTCGAATCTGGGATAGATTCGAATCAGATCGCCGATCGCGAAGCTGAACAGGAGGACGTCGCTCGCCGCGTAATGCAGCGGTGTGGTCCGCAGCAAAATTACCTCGCCGTCTTCATCGAGCTCCGGTTCGTCCTCGTAGCCGGTTTTGATCAAGAATTTGACCACCGTGATAAACGGCCATCGGATGAGTCCGGGTTTCCTCACGCATTTCATGGACTCGATGATGAGCTGGTCGATCTCTCTGGGACGAAATATCTCTCGGACATCCGGGAGCGGGTCTTTCCAATTGAATATCAAAGTATTGAGCTTACTGAAAAAAGCCATGCGCTCTTTTCCCGACTCCCAATTCAAGCCGCCGTCGCGTAAGCTCTTCAATTGTTCGATATCGCTGCAGTGATACATCGTTGAAACACTTGCACAAAACACACAGACACGATCGTTTATGATATTCAAAAAAATTAAGGATGAATCCTCTTTACCCAAAAATCACTCGTTGCAATGGATGGTGCGAGATCTACCTAATAGCTGTACACGCTACGGCGTCGTAAACTGTACTAATGCATCGGATGAAAGCGTAAAGAACACATGGCCGAACTCTGAAGTAGATAGATGTGAAAGTATTGGCCTCAAGTCTCGACTGCAGCGCCAAGCGCGCGGTGGCGGTATCATGAACTGGGGGAGGTCTACAAATGTGTACGATTGCATGTATTTACGAAGGCACCCACCATAAACAACTGATAAATAAACAATCATTGATAATACAACATTACATTGATAAAACAAGCATTTCTGCGAGTTACTCTATAGGCAAATAGCTTGTTATCTGTAGGGAAACTCTGACTAGCATTGACCACTCACAGTTCATTTGCCTGACACCATGGGCGCTACATGTCCCAGACTCGAGGCCGATAGTCTCGAACTCGATTGCCGTGCAGACGATACTTTTATAAAAATTTTCAAAATTTCCATACTTACAGTAAATGAAAAAGAACGATTTTTATGAGTATTTGAAATATGGCAAGTTTACCTAAAATTAAATCCAAGTTTCAATATTAGTTCACACTCATTAGAAACCGAGGGTGTTTCGCGCTTGTGACTGAGTATGAATTGTGCTCGACTCAGAGCGCGAATGTATCTCTATGCATTCGAGCGTGAAACATGGTCAAAAGTTTTTCCGTGTAGGCCAAGTTCAAAGAATACTCGTCTATGTAATCGTATCCATACCTATGGAACACATGAAAAATTTTCAGAACGATCTACGTTGAACCTATGGTAACTTTCCTTAGCGGTTCGGCTTAGTCATTCGGAGAGAAAGCGAGAGAGTCTTTCGGAGCTGCGACGTGTGCGATGTGTGCAGTACGTGTACGATGGTACGATGGCGTTTTGTCAAAGTTAGTTTTGTTCTTGTAGTTGGTATTGTTACCGTTATTCTTTATTCTTTGCTTAAATAGCTGTAATTCCACTTACGCTATTCAATCAGTCTCATTTTTTTTTATTAAGATGATCCACGTATTAAAAATTTTAGTCGTCGCTCCCGTCAATTCCGCTTTCGCCATGAAAATTCTTATCGGACTCCTCGCCGTACAACATAAACATCGTTCTACACACTCACACAAAAACACAGTCACTTGGATTTTAAAAAATTTAATTTCTCTGAAAAATACACTTTGAGCAGCTGATGCCACTTTTTTTCATGCTATGCCAGCCGGAACTAAACTTTTTCGTCCCGATAGCCAAAACGAAAAAATTAATTATTGCTGGAGGATTCGCGAAAAATAGTGTCACACCTAAAAAACGAAAAAGGAAGCCTCAGAGCACATGTTTTCGGCCTGGACTACGCCTCGGGCGATATTTACACGTGCTCTGAGGCATTAGAGTTTTTCGCTCCCTAGACAAGTTCTTCACTCTTGGACATTTAAAACTAGACTAAAGACAGCCCTAATGCAAATTAAGGGGACATTCCCATTGAAAATGAGAAAAAAATCGATACATTTTTTTTACGTTAAAACGTTCTTTAACATCATAAAAATATCCTGTTAAAATTTTAGAACGAAATTCATAAAGGAAAAAAAAGACTGGTAACGGCCTTTCGTGTGCGTGTAATGCATGCTTTTCATTAACTTAAACTCAAGATTTGTCATTAATTTATCAATAATAAAAGTTTCGTTGGTGTGTATTAGTTGTCATACATAAAAATACCTTTTTTTTTGAGGAGAGGCTTTTCCTAATAATAATAATAATAATAATAAAGATAATAATAATAAAAATGCTTTTTACGATAATATTTTCTAATGACATTTCGTGGCATTGTGCCTACAGCTGCTGGAACGCGAGACGAAGCGCGAAAAGGTGATCGAGGCGAAAAATCGCGAGTTACGGCTGAAGATGAAGGCCGTGATGGCCGATCCCGGGGACCAGGAGCAGGCCAAGAGGCACTCGCTCGCCGACATGAAGGATCCGGCCGTGATACAGGCCGAGAAGGACTATTACGCCGCGATCGAGGCCGTGAGTTATAGCCGAGCAAAAATTTTCAACTCTTCGTAATACATTGTTTAATTGACGTTAATGTTTTTTTTTTCTTCTCGTCAGGAGCGAGCGAGACTCGCCTCGTTCGACAAAGCCCAGGCCGACAACAAGGAAGACGACAACAATCCAGAGAGGGACGGTTGATCGGGATGAGGCTATTTTGCTAGACTTTAAGATTTTCGTATTCAATACTGTATTTTTTATTCGAACAAATCGTACGATATAAAGTTACTGTTAAACCATTGAAGAAAAGACCGATCTCGATTTTTTGAATCGTAAATACACCTTCGGCCATTGTCTCTTACTTATCACTGCGATAGACGTTAAAATGCATATAATCAAGAGGGCAGTGGCACGCGTATACGTACATATACCTTCCGCGTGGATCGATATTATCTATTATGCCGAATATATAACCCACCGGTAGTAGTGCCGCAGACAAAATGTATTCAAAGCTATATACATGTATAATCGTACTATACGCTGGTATAGTGGCGCGTCGACCTGTGCGCCCGGTGAACACCTGTCCCGCCGAACGTATAAGTATACGTACACACTCGATCGCCGTTGCCGCTGTATATGTACTACCTGTGCAGCGTATAGTTATAATAGTCGTTGTGGTGCTGCCGCTGCCGTCGCCGCGTTGGCAGGCAACAGCACTCTCACCCAAGACGACAACAGTATACAATATAGATAGCCGGCGCCGAGAAAATAAGATCGAGAAGACGATCTCGTTGCGTTGGTTTACTTGATTTTTTGCGCTCTTTGAATAGTGTTCAACGTGTCGTGATTGTGTTTTGCGATTAAAAAAAAAAAAAAAAAAAAGAGAGAGGAAGAAAGGGGAGTAATAGTCGGTGCGCGACAAATCTATATTACGTATCAAATGCACACAAGCGGGTATTGTTTAATCGATTCGCTCGTCGCGACTTTCTATACCACTTGATAATGGGTCATCATCGTCATCGTCGTCGACGACGAAGCACGCGTGTAAAGCACACAAAAGTCCAACGAGCGTCATGAGAATAGTTTTTTCGTGATAAATCGTGAAAGCAATGGATCAACAGCAGCAGAAATCGGCCAAAGGCCGAGCTGCCGCTCGTGGCAAATTGAGCCGTTCGCGAGCCGTGAGATCCTCGTCGTCATCTTCGTCGTCGTCGTCGAGTTTATCGAGCAGCAGCGATAAGGACGATGCCGCGGCCGACGACGAGTCGAAGGATTTCGGCTCGCGTATCAAGCTGTTTCGCGAGCGTGGAAGATCGTCCTCGTCCGCGAGACAGAAGAAGAGGCAGAAGAAGGTGGCGAACGACGAGAAGGAGAACAGAATCGAGACGGCGGTCGAGCAACGGCAAAAACAACAACAAGAGGAGTCGATAGGAAAGGAAAAAGAAGTTGTAACAGCAGCAGCAGCAGTACCTTCGACGAGTATAGCGCAAACGATCAAGAAGCGATTCGGATTCTTTCGCAGATCCGAGAGCGTCAAGTCCGCTACCGCAGCGGAGAACGTGGACGTCGAGGCTGGATTAATGGTGAAGGATCAGGACAAGGAGAGCTTGATCGATAGCAGCAAGATCGACGAGGAGCATGACGACAGTACGCGCGTACTCGATGTCGTGGCAGACGTGCACGTGGAGAACGAAAAGCAGCAAAAGGTAGGATGATTTTTTTTGTAGACGCGATTGAATTTTCTTTAAAAAATTAAATGCATGTATTATTGTGTAGAAGAAGCAGGATAGATCGTTGTCGTCGTCGACCTCGCCGGAAATCGTCGCGATCGAGTCTTCGTCGCCGGCCCCGCCCGTCGAGGACGACAACAATATCGAAGAGATCGGTTCGATCGACGACGACGACGACGACGATAACAACGAAGCTCGGCCAACTTCCGGCCGTAGAAAGCGCTGGGACAAGAAGAAGCCAGCGGCGGAAAAAATCGGCGCGGAACTGATCGAGCTCGAGGCGGACTCGAAGAGCCAGAGTAATAAGCCACGCCAGCGTCGGCAGTGGGCCAAGGGCGGAGCGGCCAGTGCCGAGATACGCAACTCCAGTGGCCAAAGGATTCTCCTGCCCGAGAGATCGGCAACGGCCGAGCCCGTGGTTAGGCCTGCCTCGTCGAGGTTGGCTTGTTTTTCATTCTTTTCGCTTTCCGCTCCTACAACCGATATGGTTTTTTTAATTTCATTTCGTACAATTAAATCGTGGATAGGGTAAACTTATCGGTACTCGGCCAGTAAAGAAAAATTACCGATTATAAAAGTTACGCATAAGGTTATGCATACTTTTCTAAAAATAGTTTCTGATAACAAAAAAGGTAAACTTTTGAATGAGTACTCACACTTGATCGTAAAAAGATGTTAATTTTTATAAAAAAAAGTTGTAAAGCTAAAAAATGCGTATCTTCTAGTTGGTGACCACATTATCGAACAACCCATGACATGAACTTAAAACTTGCTTAAAATTTTATTTTTGAAGACTCAGAATATCATAAATAAGTGTACGCGTTTTGAAATGCAAAGGAATCTATTTTTTTTTCTTTAAAATTTAATTGATATATATTTACCTGGAAATTATTAAGGTTCCTTGAAGAAGCTCGAATACTAGACGGCGTTTTTTATTAAATAGTCTAGTACTTGACCAGGGTTGACCAGGATAGAGTTTTATATCACGTAAAAGAAAGATTTGACGATTTAAAAGTGTATCTATAATTTTTTTTCTGAAAATATAATATATAAAGAAGTGAAAAAAATTTTCACTGAATCATCATTTTTTAAAATTAATATTTATTTAAATAACAGCTCATGGTGGTTGGTCATTAGTAGGTTTACCTTATTAAGGGAAGTCATACACCAATTTACTCCTCTTTGTCATTTTTGTAATATAAACCACAGTTTAATGTCAATCTTCATTTTCAACATAAAATTTACATTTTTGAGTCCTAAAAATGTGAAAAACGTTGCAAAATAATCCTTTGCATCTTTAAATAGCTTATCTTTGCTTTTTTATCCTTTCGTCACCCTGCGCAAGGTTCAGATGAGAGTTATTTAAGTGGCCATGCCTGATAGGAATCATAATCTTCAAAAAAATATCCTTTATGGGCTGAGTTCTGTGGAATTTTCATTTATACCTTCATATCAGTTCTATTATTCAATATGTATCAAAAACATTAATACATTTTTTTTATTTCTTGATTTTTTCACATCTGCTGGCATACAAACTTTTTTTATAATTCTAATCAAAATTCCACAGAACTCAGCCCATAAAGGATACTTTTTTGAAGATTATGATTTTTATAAGGCATGGCCACCTAAATAACTCTGATCTGAACCTTGCGCAGAGTGACGAAAGGATAAAAAAGCAAAGATAAGCTATTTAAAGATGCAAAGGACTATTCTACAATTTTTTTCACATTTTTAGGACTCAAAAATGTCAATTTTATGTTGAAAATGAAGATTGACATTAAACTGTGGTTTATATTACAAAAATGACAGAGGAGTAAATTGGTGCATGACTCTCTTTAAGGGCTAACAGAAGGCTTAATCATCATTTTTTAATTACAGTATTAGGCTGTAAAAGTAAAAAAAATTTTTTTTTCAATAACACAAATAATAACCTTTTTCAATAGCCTATTTGAAAGTATTTTGTCAAGTTAGATACTTAGAAACAGTTAAGCACAATAATAATGAGGGTATTGGTGCTCAACGCAAGCTATACGTATATCTAAGCTACCTGTCGTAGAAATCCAAGAGCAAGCATTAATCTATCGTAGCCCATGTGGTTTCATTTTGTTCGATAGCCAATTGGCCATGGTCGCAACCAAAAGCTAGCCATAAGATGAACTGTAGCTACTTGTACATATAGCAAAGTGAAATTAATTTATGGAAAATGATAAAAAATGAATACGAAATTGTAGAAAATGGTACCATCGATTAATGCTTGCTCTTGGATTTCTACGACAGGTAGCTTAGATATACGTATAGCTTGCGTTGAGGGTCAATACCCTCATTTTTATTGTATTTAACTGTTTCTAAGTATCTATCTGGACAAGATACTTTCAAATAGGCTATTGAAAAGGGTTATCATTTGTGTTATTGAAAAAAAAAACATTTTTTTTCACTTTTATAGCCTAGTACTATAGTTGAAAAATGATAAATAATTAAGCCCCCTGTTAGCCCTTAATTATTGAGGAATCATTCGAAAGAGCTGTTAAAATTTACTGGTTTTTTTTTGTGAGTGTAGGCTTCGATCGAGGCCGCCGATAGCCGCTCCGAGATCGAGGGATCCTCGAAAAGAGGAGAAAGGGGGTGGATTCGACAACGAAGCTTTTTCGTCGGATCACGACGAGGTCTTGCGAATCGAGACGATCGACGATCGCAGCCCGACCATCAAAATGAGCAACGGTGGAAGCGAGTACAACGACGACGATAGCACGACTTTGAGCGAGGAGCAGGAGGAGGAGAAAAGATTGCCGAGCGATCGTAAATCCAGCATCGAAAAAGCTGAGGTAAGAGAAAACTCTACAATAAAGAGGACAATTAAAAATTCTGGGATCGTTTCAGATACAAGACTTCACAGCCCCAACGTCGTCAACGAACACGACTACAACAACCGAATCGAGCGAGATTCAAGACTCGCCTCGCAATGATAATAAAATCGCCTCGTCGTCGAGGCGATCGTCGAAATCTAGCGTAAGACGAAAGTCTTCCGGCGAGAAGCGATCGTCCGGTGGCCGAGGAGACGACGACGATTTCGACGAAGAGGACGAGGAAGAGGAGGATCAGGAGACGACGACGGTACTGACTGCCATGCAGCGAGGCGGCAGCAAATCGAGACGCTCGTCGAGGAGCTCGAGCAAGAAGATATCGGCGGACAACTTTTTCGAGAAACGACGAGGACGATCCAGTGGGGATGAGACCACGACCATCACGACCAACGAAGACATGCATACGGTACGATATTTTAAATACGATGAAGTAGGGTATAGACGTGACATTATGTGATATAACGTTTGTTTACCCACAGTCCCGGAGAGACTCTCGACACTCGCGCAAATCGAAATCGTCATCGAGACGTAACGACGACGACGAAGACAAGAGCAGCAGTCGACGCTCGTCGAAGCATCGTGCTGCCAAGCAGCCAAACACGAGCTCGTCGACGACACGTTATTCCGGCGACGAGCGACGACAACAACAACAACAACAACAATCACAACGACCGCAAAAGCCACCGCGTAAATCCAGATCGAAATCGAAGAGGCGCTCGAGACGAAAAAAATCCTCCGATCGATCCGATGCTGCTGCCGCTGCTGCTGCAACGAACGACGAAGAGGAGGAAGAGCAGCTGAGATACGCGTCGATCAGGATCCATCGCTCGGACATGCTCGAGGCGGATTACCTGACGCGACGACCGATGGTCAAGGTGCACCTGGTCTACGCCGAGACCGGCGAGTATCCACGGTCGAGAGGTGCCAAGCCGAGCGACGAGCAGCAGTCGCTGCTGCCGATCGTTACCGATCGCTTCGACTTCCGGGCCAAGAGGTCGATGGTGCCCGTCTGGGAGCAGGAGCTCGTCTTCGAGTTCAATTACAGGCATCTGCTGGCCCAGGGCCGAGCTGCCGTCGTGCTGCTGTTCGAGATTATCGATCGAGTCAGCGGCGGTGGTGGTGGCGGCGATGACGACGATGGCGGCTCGTTCGATCGGAATGACAGTAAGCTCGTTGTTGCGGCGTGATTTCATCGAATGAACGTGTAAAAAAAGCTTTGGTAGAAATGCTCAACGTTAATGGTGACGTAATGACCAAAATATTACCGTTTAGAATGTTTTCTACATTATCATCAACTGGCTTGTTTTTGGCGATTTTGCTGTTGTAATTATATTAGAAATATTGAGGGCACTTTAAATGATCTGGAAATGACGATTTGAGTTCATGAAAATTCAAACTATTTTTCAACCACTTTACTTGCGACGATACTGCTTTAAGCCTCCGCCACTAGGTGGTGAGTACCTTTATCTGCAAATCTACAAGTGGCTAAGTAAAAATGATTGTATAAGTCTAAGCACGGGTTGCACAGTGCCAACAATAAGTATGTTCGTATCTAACGATATGGCCAATATTGTAATATGTTTATCAATACATCAAAATACCACTTCTGATAAATTTTGGTCATCTGCAGACAAACAGACCCCAGGAGGGACAGGAGATGGTTTTCTCCAGGTTGTCACTGCGTTACAAAAAAAACATTAAATGGAACAATGATTAAAATTAGAAAAAATTTAAATATATGAATGAAAAAAAATCAGCTATTTATGAACAGCTGCAAGAATTGCAAGTTCAAAGTTGAATAAAATAAAAACAAGAAAATTGATCAATCAAATAAGTTATAATGAAATAAAATAAAAAATTCAAATAAGTAAAAAACTAAAAAAAATCAAAAAACATGAATCATGCAAGTAAGAGTCAAAATAAAGAACCAAAATAGAAACTAAAAAATCAAGTAACAAGAAGAAAACTTAGAAAATCCACACACAAGCTTCGATGTTTCACATTAAAAACAAAAAAATATGAAACTTTTGATTAGTACATGTCCATTTTTTATGTTCAAGAAATCTTTCGTTGGTCAAGCCTTTGAGCATTTCTACCAAGGCAGAAAAATTCAATCGCATAATTTTAAGTTTCTGTGTACTTTCTTGCTCTTGTTTTTCTACCATCGGTTTTATTTTTTTCTGTAACGCAGCTCGCGACCCGTACTGGTACAAGGTCGCTTGGGCGTTTCTTCGCCCGGTCGGCGTCAACGGCGCCCAGCACGTGGACAAGCGCGTGCGTCTGCAGCTCTACCGGCCGAAGAAGTCCTTCTGGCGCTGCTCGACGATAACGACGAGACGCAGCAACAACAACAACAAAAACAACAACTCGAAAACGCCGACGAGATGCGACATATACAAGTGGTGGAAGTCGTCGGCGAGCAGCCGCGTCAAGTACCCGAGCAGTCTGTACGTGACGGTGTGCGGCGTCGAGCCGTCCACGCCCCGACTGCTCGAGTCCGTGCGGATGACGACTCGTCAACATCCCGACGAGCAGCCGCTGAAGATCGACGATCTGACCGATTTGAACAACGACGAGGACGACAATAACAAGACCGGATGCCGACCGTTGATTCTGGACGAGGAGTCGTCGAGAATGACGACGACGACGGAGCTCGGCAGGCCCAAGTGGACGCGTCACGCCGCCCAGTCGTGCCAGATACCCAACGACCTGGCCTGGGAGACGGACGAGACGAGCGAGCGTGGCTGCTTCGCGCTGGCGTTCAGCCACGACGGCAAGTATCTCGCCTGCGCCTGCTCCGAGGAGTACGACTATCCGATCCTCGTTTACAAGGTAATGCATTCGAGAAAAAATTCCGTCTTTTCCCTTTCGATTCCAAATGTACTTCTAATCATGAGAAATTGGATTGCAACGTCTAAAATTCAATAGTTCGTTTTGTATGGATATAAAAAAAGATTCACGTCGCTCGCTTGTAGCAAATTAAGCATGAACCTGAAAAATTTTCTAAAAATATCTTCCAACAGCAAAATAGGTAACCTTTCGAATGAATACCGACACTCGATAAAAAAAAAAACTAGTAGTGTATATTAACGAACGATTAAAGCTAAAAAAAAGTGAAATGTACCAAGTTGGCCAATGACCCTGAACTTATAGAACTCGATTATATTTTTAATTTTCGAGGACTGAAAGCATTAAAAATAAACGTACTTGTTTCGAAATGTATGTGGATTAAACCTATGATTTTTTGACAAGACAAGTCGTAAATACGAAAATACAGGTAATTTAAAATCAATCTGATTTTTAATTTTTTTCACAAAGGTGCGTTTTTTAAAAGTAAATTTCACACATTTATAACTTTTCTTTGGACGTGAAATTGGTCGAAGTGCCGAATTATTTTTAAACCGTTGACTAATGACTGAAAATTTATTCCCATTCATATATGAAGACGATGATTATGCCCTATGAAGCGTCATTTTTTAGACCTCGTTTGATACTACAATTTTCAGTAAGGTCACTTCCCAATTTTCATCAAACTTTGAATTCATTTCTTACATGAAATAAAAGCTTAAAATTGAACAAAAATTGTCTGCATGAGCCGAACATGTTTAACAAAACTATATTTATTTAAATACTGGTGGAAGTGTTTTATGCACAAATTAATACTAAGCATTGAGCGAAAGGATTTTTTTGAAAATGTCCTTGAAATTATGATTTTCACGCGACCGACACAGAGAAACTATAAAAAAAAGTCTTGCTCCATGAATCCTTGAATTTGAATTACATTTCTAATCGATTTATCGTAAAATTCTTGCTCCTCTACAATTCGTTGTAACATTATATTCGATTGCAGCTCGACGACGGCAAGGTCTCGATGCGCTTCGCCGGCCACAAGAACTTCGTCTACTCGGTGAACTGGTCGGGCGACGATCGCCAGCTCGTCACCTGCTCGTCGGACCAGACGGCCCGCGTCTGGGACGCGGCCGAGAAAATCATCGAGCCCCTGCAGGCACTGCCGCACCCGTCCTACGTTTACTGCGGTCAATTTTTGGCCGGCAACAGCGGCAGCAGCATCGTCACGGGCTGCTACGATCACGTGGCTCGCGTCTGGTCGCGGTCCGCTCGCGAAACGACGAATTACGAGCTGATCCAGGAGCTGGAGGGCCACGAGAGCTTCGTCAGCGCCGTGTGCTGCTGCGACGAGGCTGGGGACCAGCTGATAACGGGCGACGGCGCGGGTACGCTGATCGTCTGGCTGCTGCAGGCCAAGAAAACTTCGACGCCGACGAGCTCGAGCAGTCATCGTCATCGTCGTGGAGTCAGAAAGGAGTGGCAGATCGCCAAGAAGCTCAAGCTCAAGGATCTCGAGGGCGTCGCCATCAATACTCTCCTGGCCCTGGGCCGCAGCGCCAACGGACCGCGACTGATCGTGCACTCGCGCAACGACGAGCTGCGTCTGCTCGAGGCCGCCACGGGCCTGGTCGTGCGCAAGTTCACCGCCCCGGCGCAGCTGCGTCGCAATCGGCGCATACAGGCCAGGGCGTGCGCCTCGCCCTGCGGCGGTCTGCTGTTCTGCGGCGGCGACGAGGCCTCGCGCCTCTGCTGCTGGTCGCTGGACACGGGCCGACTGCTGGCCACCTACGAGCCGACGACCAGTCATCCGAATCAGGCCTGCACCTGCGTGGACTATCATCCGTACGATCACGCGCTCGCCTACGGCTGTTACGGAGCGCCGGGTCAGCCCGTGCGAGTGCTGAGGTACGATCGCGAGGCCGACGGCAGCCGAGTGGGACTGAGGCTGCTGCAGGCGCAGGGTCTGCCGCAGGCGAGGATCAAGCTGCTCGAGCCCGTGAGCAGTAGGAATGGCTCGGCGACGAGGAGCTTGACGACCTCTCGGAACGGTAATAATTTATTGGCTCGTTTCGGGCGCGTCGACGACAGCGCGGAGGACGACGACGAGTCGAGATCGAAATCGAGACAGCAGCAGCTGCAATTGAAGGGCAGAGTGCAGAATTTCATGGAGACGGGGCCGAGTCTGCGTGCCAAGAGTCTGAGTCGGCTGAGCGGCATCATCGAGAAGATCGATCGTATACTCATGTACGCGACGAGTCATCATCATCACAATCATCAACAGAAATCATCGGGTACCGTAATGGTCGACGTCGAGGCCGCGCGAAGAGAGGACGATGATCCACCCGACGCCGCTGCCAAAGTGTTCACGCAGAGAAACGCCAGCCCCGTGGAGATCATCGAGTTGAAGGACTTGCCGCCGCCGCTACAACCGAGCAAGAAGCCAAGAAAGAGATCCAAGAGCGCGAGAAACGCCTGCTCGCCGACGACCCCCGACAACTCGGCCAAGTCCTTCTTCTCCGACGGCAATAATCGTCGACGCAGGTATTCGGGTCGGGGCAGCGACGACTCGGCCGCCAATCGACAGGGGGGACAGTTCGTCTTCGAGACGGTGGATCTGGACAAGATCGAGACGGACGATAATTACGATTACGAGCCGGAACAGCAGCAGCAGCAACGCAAGGACTCGCTGGATACGATCGTGGATGGGAGGGAGGAGGATTTCCCGAGCGAGGAGGTGCTGGACGTCGAGTCGTTGAAGAGCGACGATACCTACGTGGTGAACAAGGACGATGGCGACGATGACGGTGCGACACCGGCCGTTAATAATAGTATTAGCAATAATAATAATAATAACAACAACGAGGATGGATCATCGGACAGGAGCAACGCGACTTTCGTGATCGAGAGCGAGATAGCCGCTGCAGCGCCGGTGCCGAAGCCGAGGAGAAGGATCGGCAAAATCGAGCTCGCTCGATGAATGGAAATGTTTCATACTTGTAAATAATTTTTGTACACCCACTAAGTCGTTCATACAGTAAGATGGGAGCAAATATGCCTCTGGTATTATAATAATATTGATAATTTATGTAATTCTATTTGTACCCGATCACAAACCTTATTCGTAAATGTATAGTACAACTATATATCTCGTTGCTGATATTCATTATAGTAAATAAAGAGAGAAACTTTTTTTAACGGAACTGTTTTTTTCGTACGATTCAATCGAGTACACCTGCCACACGCAATCAGCTCGACATTGATTCATTGCCCACGGAAATGCAGATTTTTTCTTTTTTGTAAACATACCGTAAAGTTGCGCATACGAAAAAAATGCAGTCGTACGCGTTTGCCAGCCTGTGCTACATGAAATCATCGACGGTATTTTTGCGAAGCAACCAAGTTTTGTACAAAAGGTTCCGATATGATCCGATTTCTATATGTTCTCGTAGATATTTCTGTTGCTCGCGATCACTGCCGCCGAGGCGAGAAATTGCGGCGATCCGTATCACAAGATCGACCAGGTGATCGAACGAGTGCCCAAGCCGCCGCCGCCCCAGCAGAAGCCCTGGTCTTCGGGGGACTCATCGCTGGAGGATGACGGCGGAAAGGTATCGAACGAAGTGAACGATAAACCGGCGCCGCCCCCGCAGCGCGCGGGTCAACGTTCGTCGGGAGGAGGAAAGAATTCGGCACCGGGCGAGGATTACATCATGAAGGGCGATCCGCACGCCTTGGACGAGATCAACAAGCAGATGGACGAGATGCGAAAGATGGACTACGACGACGACGACGACGTCCATGAGGTAGCGAGACCGGAGACGGTAGTGCAGAAGGAGCCGCAACCACCACCGCCACCCCCAAAACAACAGCAGGAGTGGCAACAACAGCCCCAAAAGCAGCAGCAGCAGCAGCCGCCCCAACAACAGTCCGAAAAGCAGCCGCAACAGCAGCAGTCCTACGTTATCGGGATACCGATCATATTGCCGATGTTCAATATGCAATTTCCGCCGCCGGGCTCGAAGCAGCAGCAGACCGCCATAATCAAGGTCGTGTATTAAAATAACGTGTATTAAACTAAATAGGGGTCTTGACTAAATTTCAAAAAAATTTTTTTTTTTTTGGACATATAGTAAATCGAATTGATCCATAAATCATACATATAATTAATAGTTATTTGAAGAATATTCAATAAAATTTTCAGCCCAAAATACTGAAAAATAAGCTGGCTACAGTAAATTTTCACATGCAACGTAAAAAATATCCGGTGGACACCATCACTCAAAATCTACTCGACCGATCAACTTCATATTTTATACACTATTTAAGTAGATAATATATGAGGTAATGACGTCGAGATGATTTAACTTTTTGCATTTTTAAATGTTTTTTACCACCATGTATGATGAATTTTTGCCTTCATCTTTTCAAAAAAGTCATTTTTTCCCCCATCAAAATGATGCCAACAACTCAAAAATCATTTTAAACGAAATATCTCGACGTCATTACCTGATAATTTATGTAGATAAATAGTGAGAAAAATTTGGAAAGAATCGGTCGAGTAGATTTTCAGTTACAGTGTCCACCGCGATCGATCTTTTTTTTCAGTTTTGCGAGAAAATTTGCTGTAGTTAGCTTATTTTTCACTATTTTCAGCTGAAAATTTAACTAAATGTTTTTCAAATAACCATTTATAATGTATATAATTTATAGGTAAATTCATTTTACTATGCGCTCAAAAAAAATTATTAAAATCCAGCTCGAAAACCATCGAACCAGACCCTATCCCTCCCCTTAACAAAACGTTAGATATCATATGGTATACGCCCTATTTTCGCTCAAATTTGAAATAATTTTTCATATAGAATTGAAATTTAATATCTGAATTTAAATAATATATTTCGTTTGAAGATTCGTTAAGCCAATTTTTTTTAAATTTATTTTACGTACAATATTAATTATTAACCGAAAATAGGGGCATATACCTCAATACTTTCAATGTGTGAGTTAATACAACGGGAAAGTGTCTGCGTATGGAAGTAGCTACTTTAAAATAACAGTAACAGACATCAGATTTCTCGACTATTATCGCTTCATTTCCGAAATCGATTGCATTTTTAGCTTTAGAAAAATTCACTATTACTGTTACATTTTTAAGCATATAGTTTCCTTGACATTAGCAAGTGATAAAATAATTTTTCTAGTTCGAATTTATTTTTACATGCAATTGTCGAGCACTAAAAATTACAAATTAACTCGGAATTCAAGCCAACTATGATATCTCTATTTTCGGCCAATTCAATTATGCAATTATACATACAATCTTCTTTTGATGAGAAAGTAAAGGCGTTGACGAAATGAAAGAATATTAATTTCTGACTTTGACACGAGACCTGTACACCGCGCCTCGTTACGTCATTTTTGAATTTATATAAAAAAAGTGTATAGACCGCGAGGCGTAAATCATAATTTACGAGAAAGTAGAGCTGATATCGGTATACAAAGTTATTCGCAAGAATTAATCTGATAATCGACGATTTAGAGTCGCGAGATGAAGAAAATATATACTAAACGTATTCAGTTTTTTTTTTCGCGAGATATTGCACAGAAATTGTAAATTTAGATTCTCGGGCGCCTCGGACTTATTGAAATAATTGGCATTTTTCTCGAAATGAATTTCTTCTCCGCTCTTGATAATGTATCATTTTAATGCATATGAAACGATATTTACGGAATGCATAATTATAGATCCGTAAATAGACGAGTTTCGAGGAAAGTTTTATTGTGCTCTCGAGAAATGAATGTTAAAAAAGATTCCCAGGTCTTTGTAATAATAGTGCAGGTTCAAAAATACATTTCGACTCAACCTCGATAAAGTTGATAGAGTAGCACTTGACTGATTGCAATGCAATATGCATAAAAATTTTTAATATCCAATGGTTATTGATCACCACCTGCTGTTTATCACTATTCTCAATAGTTATGGACTTGGTACTAATTTTTATTTCAAACTTGATGTAACATAATATTTACTATAAGTACGAAAAAAAGTTGAATTAAAATTTTCATTCAATTATATTTGATTGTTTTTTTTCCAGATTGAGTATGGTCGCTCGAAAAGAGACAGTCTTCATTCATTTTGGTAATGGACTTTTTGTCAAATTTCTACGAGATAGCGCAGAAGTAACATCGCAGGATCTTACATTTAGACCATATGTTTGTCATCAAATGCATGAGAAAAATAGCCAATAAAGAATTCGAATGTTAAAACAATTTTTTTTCTCCATATTAAAAAGCCATAAAAATATTTCTTTATAATGATTTTCATCGCGTTGGAATGAAGTGTGACTGGACTGGAGAGATCGAAAAAAAGCCTAGCTTGCGTTTTTATTTATATATTTCATTGAGAAATGAACTCTAATACGACTCTATAAACATTTTATTAAAAATTGATAAATTAACGAACAACGCGGTTACGCAATGAAAAATTTCAAATGCATAATAAATTTTGACGAATCGTCACTACGCAAACATTTGCGCTATGCACAAAATCTAAAAGTCGATTGATCATCGCTTTAGAGCGAGAACACAATGCTCGACTTTATATTTCTCTCTGTAAAAATTGGATCATCGCATATGTATTTTTTCGCGCATCATCGTCGTAGGCCGTCTAATAAGGTCCTATACACCTTAATTTTTTCATCCTCGAAAACATTTCACATTGACATTGCGCCGTCGTTAAAAGCGATGTAGATATTGGCGAGTGTGGAATCGACAGTCGTGTATACACCTATAAATCGAGATCATTAATATCGTCGGGTTGTCGTTCGGAGAAATCACAAAGGTCTTTTTATTGATGGCTGCCTAGACGATCGCGGGCCTGCACGAGTCCCGCGTGTCAACGGTGAAATACGCAAAACGAAGCGTATAAGGAAGATTATTATAGAAATTCGCTTGGACTTGTTTTCGTCCGCGTGAGTGTGTGTGTGTGTGTGTGGCACGAGCAGGACTAGACGTTATATATGTTATATCACAATAGGCGAAACCAGTTATATAATCGTACAATAATCTTCAATTTTTTTTTATGACATCGCCGATCGGCCTTGGGCAAAATTTGAAGTCCGCCGAGCAGTCCTAATGCCTTTGTTATCTTTTTTTTTCAACAACCTCGAGGGTTGATTTGATTTTTTTTTGCAAAAATTTTTTTGCGCTTACGAATGTGCTTCGAATCACCGAGTTTACCTCGTTTCGATATCTTGGCGATTAATTTATACCGACTTTGTGTAATAGCAGCACACATGGCCGCGACGATCGCGCGACGCAATGAAATTCTGAAAAAGAGAAAGATATGTAAAAACTTCTCTTTCTGAATATTTATATTCACTTTTTTTTGCAATCTTCTTACTAAATTTCCCCTCAGTAATCAGTCGCTGTAGAAAAGGACTGGATTCGTACATTCGGATTCATTTTTCGAGGCTATTTTTGGGTACAAGACAGCAGCAGCAGCACGCACAGTTATTCAACGAGAGAGAGACCCCAAAAAAAGATCGTACCGATTTTTTAAATTCGCTATGCTAATCTCTCTCTCTCTCTCTCAAAAAAGTATGGCATTTATTCGATCGAGATTCGAACCGCAAACTTGCAAATGTGACAAAAAAAAGATGAAGAAGGAAGATTTTGGTCAGTGCCGAAATTTCTTTCTCGTGCGGTGATCGCCGCATGATTTTGTAACAATAATTACATTTCTGCCGATGATGTATATTGAAATACCATTAACGAAACGAGATCATTGCTCCGCGTCAAAATGTAATATGCACATGGATCGTTAAAAAAAAAAAATAATTCGTGAGAAAATATTTTTCTTTTTTTCGTAGTTCGTATTGATGCTATTTAACGATCTAATGCCGATTTCGACGCGTTTACACGGAAAGCCAATTATGTTATGTTAGATCAATGGGATGTCGGCAGGTACATAAAAGCGATTAATAAAGCAATTTGTATTCTCAGAGATCTTTGAACTTAAAATAAAGAGTCTAAATAGTTCAGTAGAACGTTCGAGCTTTGCAGCGGATGTAAAAATCGGCAAAGAATCGATCGCCGATCGATTAAATTACGCACATTGAAATAGAGTTGAAAGATCGATCTAGGCCTTGCGCAGATCAAAATCGAAGATCATTTCGCTATCAGAGATGTACGTTCAATTTTTTTCCATTCATATTATTTCATATGCCTGTCTTGAAGGCGCGCGCGCGCCCAATGTATATTACTTTCACTTTCGTGGCAGATAGTGTCGGCAATGTCGCGACTGTACGTATTTTTTTTTTTCGAAATGCTCAATGGCACACGCACAGATCACGATGTACTTTTTGCATTTTTTCGATCGCGAGGTTTCGAAATTGTTGTTAAAGTTCGTACTATTTGTCACGTACGCTCTTTTTTTTGGCACCACGATGATGATGAACGTATCGATGCTTTACAATCTTATTTTTTATTTTTCGGAAATTAAAAACTAGGAATAACAGACGCGTAACGTATCGTTATTTTTCACGCGTCCGTGTATATTCTCGGATTATTAAAGGTTGATTCATGCGCGCGACTGCCATAAACTAAATCAAAGGAGAGAGAGAGAGAGAAAAAAAAGGAGGAAAATGTCAAAAAAAAAACGAATGAACACTCGTGGAAGGTCATCCACTTTGTAGTAAGCTGAATTTCAATAAATCGTATGAAGCGTAAAACGCGCGTAATTCGATAATATATAGAAAGAGAATTTTTCGAGCCGATCCTTTTATACGAGATAAAAGTAATGCTGAAAAAAAATAACGTAGAGCAATTAGAATCTTCGAAAAAAAAACAATTGCATCTTGTGAAACCGAGCAATAAACTTGCACTCGAGACAAGTACGAAAAAAAGTAATGCGAGTACGAGAATCCACTTGTGTATAGATTTATTATAATACAGTCTCCCGTACATTGCTATCATCGTGGCGAGACCTTCGCGAGCGCGAAAAAAAAGACGCCGAGAAAGAAGAGAGCTCCGATCGTCTCGATCTCTGCGATTCAATGCCGATATGTGTATCTTCGCGTACACGCATACAACAACACATACTACCGGTCGCTCGTCGGCTTTTGCCTGTGTACTATAATACGTTGCGAAAGAGATGATGCGCGCTCGTGTGTGTGTACGAATTTCGATGTGCGTTTATCCCGACATCGTGAGATGATCGCCCGTGCGGGAGGGAAGAGGAGGAGGAGGAGGAAGATGCGCGACAGGACCGGGCCCGAGAATCGGAGGATTTTTTTCTAGTATAAAAGCTGGGCGTCCGGCCGAGTAAAATCATTCTGAGCATCATCAGCAAACAACCAACATGAAGTCCACTCTTCTGGTTTTGGTGAGTTTGCCTACATAGTCTACCCTACACACAATACATACATACGTAAAAGTGGCTCGTCGAGAAATTAACTTGGAATCAGTGAATCTTGTGGTTTTTGCGGAATAAATTTTGTGCCTCGGATCAAGTGTGATTTATACGATACAGTTTTGCGGATTAGTGCGATTTAAAACGAGATCAAACGATTGTCAAACACGAGTTTACAAGTGTTCGTTCGATTAAAAAAACGAATTTGATCAATTGAGATTTTTCGAGTCCATCGATCGCGCGGTGCTTCTGATCAATTACAGTGAAACTTTATAAATTTTTTTTCTTCTTCTTTCACTCGCAAGGTCAACGTGTCTGTAAAAAAAAATAGAGCCTACTGTTACTTTTTACGCGGAGCAATAAAAAGAATAAAAAAAATTAAACGACGCGCACCGACCGCTTGATACAGCATTACAGTGAATAACATCGTCTGCAGTTATGAGCTGAACACTTGATACTAATTTCTCTCTTTCTACAGGCCCTCTTCGCCGTTTCGGCATTCGCCGACATCCTCCCCGGTGATCCGCGTTACGGTACCGAGTACCACCGTGAACACCATCACGCTCACCATGATCGTGAGGTAGGATACCCCGTCCACGAACAACCCCAGGGCAGCTACGAACTTCCATCAACCGGCTACGGAACTCCATTCCAGCCAGAAGGCAGCGTAAGTGTGAAATAGCTCTTCGAGCGTAGAAACATTTTGAAATGAGCGATTGACTCATCGTCATTTTTATTGTTAACAGCACGACCACGGTTACGAAAGACACCAACCAGCCCCAGTCCCACATGAGGAATATGGACCACCTAAACACCAAGCCGCCCCAGTAGTCCACTACGAGCCCGCTCCAGCTCCAGCTCCAGTCGCCCACTACGAGCCAGCTCCAGTCCACTACCAACCAGCCCCAGCACCAGTCCACACATACGTGCCAGTCCAGACTCCAGCTCCAGCCCCAGCTCCGGTCCACACATACGTGCCAGTCCAGACCCCAGCTCCAGCCCCAGCTCCAGTTCACACATACGTGCCAGTCCAGACCCCAGCTCCAACCCATGTGCCACACCAAGTCTATGGACCACCAAAGGCCCTCCCAAGCCACCCAGCCCCACAGGCCCCATCCCAAAACTACTTGCCACAACATCAGGCTCCCCAACACCCAGCTCCAAGCCACCCAGCCCCACAGGCTCCATCCCAGCACTACTTGCCACAACACCAGGCTCCAGCTAAAACTCGTAAGTATTGATACAAACTTATAAAAATTCAACCGACTAAGTTTCGAATTTTAAACCACAATCTGTTTTTTCTAGTCCCAAGCTTCCAGTTCCCAAGCCAACAGCTCGGTCAAATCGCCAACCATTTCACATCCAAGTTGAACAACAACCAGTTCTCCCAGAAGCTTAACCAGAAATTGGGTTAGTATGAACGAATTAATTTTTTGTTAAACAACCATCGGAATTATGCTAAAAAATGTATATTTTTTAATTTCCAGGTGGTTTGATGCACATGCTCCCAATGTTGCCCCAGATCCGTCTCCCATCTTTCATGAAGCAAGCACCAGTCCAACAATACTTGCCAGCCCCAGCTCCACAAGCCCACCCACAACCAGCTCCATCCCAAAACTACTTGCCCCAACGCCCAGCCCCAGTCCAAGTTCCATCCCAAAACTACCTGCCCCAACGCCCAGCCCCAGCCCCAGTCCAAGTCCCATCTCAAAACTACTTGCCACAACAACCTGCCCCACAACCACAAAAAGTATACGTGCCAGCAGCCCCAGCTCCAGTCCAAAAGCCAACCATTGTCTACGTACAACAGTCAGCTCCAGTCGCCCCAAGCCACCAAATCAGTGGATCCTCCCAGACCACCTCCGAGCACCACGAGCACCACGTCGTTGAACACCACCAACAAGCCCAGGACTCCAACGGTGGATACCTCTACTAGATAATTATTAAGTTATTCAATTTAAGTATGAATGCTGATAGATGTACAGAATGGAAGAGATCATGTTCGATCAGTTTGAGTGATTTTTTTCACTTGTATTCATGATAATAATGATGGCAGAGGGTACGGATGAGACTCGTATAACGATTGTAATATACGATGATAACATCTAATCCTAATTTTGTTAATCATTATTATTTATTTTGATTTGAAAAACAAGATACAGTAACAATAAAAGTTATTATTTTTCCACAAACAATTTTCGTTGTGTTTGAAAAAAAAATATCCATCTCTCCACATCTGAGCACATTACTTTTACACTAGTAAGTCTTTAATATACATGTTTTTTGATCATCTTATTTATAAATATGCAAAATAATGTACAAGCACATATGTCACTTGTCGAATTCTCGATGATGCCTCATACATCATCAGCTTATCATCGCTGTGATCATCACAGCTGGCACTTGTTATTGAGATTCATCGTTGAACCAACAAAACAGCTAAAGGTCCGACTGTAATGATCGGAATTGCGTAACACCCGCTGCGACTTTGCGCACCCAGGACAGTGGGAGTTGTGCAAAATTCAGGTTGGCAGCCCATCGTTAGTTTAGAAATGAGCAGTATTTTTCTGTGGATAATTATATTCGGGCCTAATAATCTCGGACAGTTCCGATATCATATTTATCTCTTGCAAACACACTATTAAATGTATATATTAATTGTTCTATTTTAGCTCTATTTATCTACTTTAAATGGTCCAGATTAGCTTTGAATTCGAATTCTTCCACATATTCAAATAATTCATCTTAAATTAATTCAAAATAAGAGGTTGTAAGTAGTAAACAAGGATATGACGAAGACATAATACTACTAAAAAAGGAACAAAAAGCCAGCTTCGATTATCTGGCAGATATTACTGATTATGTCAGTTAAAAATATCAATAAATTTAATTATGATAAATAATTATTATTAATATATTTAATTATGTAAAAAATATTTAAAAATATTCAAAAATAATGTTAATTATTAATTTCTAATTAATTAATTATGTACATTATTAAATAATATGTTCAACAAATAAAATTATATAAAAATCATACAAATTTATATGTTTTATTTGATGTGATTTATTTATTTATTTGTCTGTATTTGTTTTATTTATTTGATTTCATTTAATGTTTTGCCAATCAAATTTATCAAATTTATGTACTATTTTAAGAACATATTTAAAAAAAATGAAAGTAGTTACAATTTATAACCTTTATGTGTATAAAATGATATGTATTTATCAAATATCATTTACAGTAACAAAACCGTGTGGATACATGAATACTCACGAAGATTTTTGGTGTGAACGACAGTTTTGAAAAAAAATTTTATTTAAAAATCGCATAATTTATTCCGAGTATGATGTGGTAGAAATGAATTAATGTATATTGTAATATTTTCTTAAAAACTTTTATTTGAGATATAATAAATAGAAATATGTTTATACTTTTCTCATTTTAATTGAACTGAATTCATGAGCTGGTCTTAATCAAAATTTCTCTTTAGTTCAACGTTAATGTATGGTAATACGAGTGCGTTTAGATGCTCGTTGTGTTGAGTGGATCGGTAATAACTTTGTACTCTCTTCAAAACTGAAAAAGATCGCTCTTCACTACAGTTGGTATACCATCATGCACAAATATATGTATAACGCAGTGTGGAAATTCGGGTATATACTTTGAAAATTATTCTCACAAAATAATTTTGATAAATTTGTACCCATGGGGTTTTCAATTTCGATCGAATTCAAGTAAGATGCGAAGTGCATGCATTTAATGGCGAGGGAGTCATTTAAATCGTGTATACAAGATGAATATTCTCTTTGCTTATTTTTTTTTCTTTTTTTTTTCATAGATAATACAATTATTTCATAGAATTTTGGTCAGAATAAATTTTTTATTTACAAAAAGGCATTAAATCATCTATATTTCAAAGATTTTAAGGTACTCGGAAAAAATTATCAGGGAATATCTCAATCGCGACATCTCACAGAATTAACGTATAAACATTGCAAGTAATAATTTTACGTCCAGAAATAATCCTAGTGCTACTTGATAGATACTTGCTGGATTAATGGCGCTCATAAATCTTGTAAGATAAATCAAATCACCATAGAAATATTTCTCTTCGAGTACTTACAATTGCATAAAGGCAATTGCTGAGGTTCCTTGGGATGTTTGCGGTTATTTAAATGGCTTCATAATTTTTTTAATTTAGGGGTGGCAATAACTTATAGACTTACAGGTGGCAAATACCCTTAATCATTGAGTTATATTTTTACCGTTAACAATGGTGCAATTACGCATTGCTTTCTTCAGATTTAAGTTTTACATTCGATATTATAATGCTACTAAGGGGAAGGTACGGTTCCGTATGATTGATTTTTTCCATTTTTCGAAGTACTGTATTTTACTATAGGATAAAAAAAAAATACCTCATTTTTGCAAAGTACATGTGAAAATGCATGATAGCAAGAGTATGCTGTGAAAGTTCCATCCAAAAATGTTCATATTTAAGAGACCTGCAGATAATGACAGATTTTGCATAACGATATTCTTATTCCTGCCCTTTGGAGTACTTAAAGTATGTCCAAATATAAGCATCAGCCCAAAATTTTAGCATGATCCTATGTACATATAAATGTGCAAAGCGTACTTTCGTTTGCAATAAATTAATGCCTTGGATATTTATTTTTTAACTCATGCCTTTTTTATAGAATGATTGTTAAGTATTAGTTCAGTTTACCTTGGACAAGGCATAAGTGCATATAGTAGCCTTAAATGTACAGGTCTAGGCTCGAATTGTAAAAAAAATAATTCGAGGATATTAATTTTTTAACATTATGCCCTTGAGCAGTATGAAATTGATTGTCTACAATAGTTGATAAAAAATATTGGCATAAGTGCAGGTAGTAGCAACCCAATATAATGCGCTGAAAAGGTGAGCATTTCTCAAAAGTCGTTTTTAGGATAATCCTTTCTAAACTTATGCCATTTTTCTGAGAAGTAGAAAACTATTAAATACTATTCAAATGCATAAGTTAAAAAATTAATATTCTCGAATTATTTTTTTTTTACATTTTGAGCCTAGACCTGTACATTTAAGACTACTATGTGCACTTATGCCTTGTTCAAGATGAGCTGGGCTAATAGTTTACAATCATTATATCAAAGAGGCATAAGTTTAAAAATAAATATCCAAGTCTCAATTTATTGCGAATGCGCCTAGACATTTTTATGTACATAGGATGACGCTTAAATTTTGGATTCATACTTGTGTTTGGACATACTTTAAGTACTCCAAGGGGCATAAGTAAGAAAATCGTTATGCCCAATCTGTCATCATCTGTCGGTCTATAACCCTTTGAGATGTAATTTACGAAAAAGTCTTGAAAATTCTGGAGACTTATTACAGGATCATCTGACACAAAAAATTCAAAATGAGTTAATTAGTTTGATGTAATTAAAAGTTAAAAAATCGCTTACTTCAATTTTGCTCGGATGTGCTCGAATTCCTTTATAAAGTTTTTCACAATACCTGCATGGGTTTTTTCTTCATTGGTTTCGTTCAACTCTATTTAATTTTTTTTAGCTGATAATTATTTCCTCGATCTATTTTTCTCTCACATTTTCTCGCCTCATTGAATTAGTCTGATTAATCATCTTTATTCATATTCTCCCGATAGCTTAACCATTTTAGTTTATTTCAATGTTTCAAATATTTCAATTTGTAAATATGCACAAAAGAAGAAAATTTTTTCCAAATTTAACACAGTTTCAAAGAAAATTACATCGATTCTATCCCACTTCTGACAATTGTAGCAATAATAATATGCGTAGTTCTGTTAAAAACTTTTATAAATCTTATTTGATTACAAATAGCGTTAAAATAGCAACATAAAAAAAGAATTGAATAATAAGAATACCTGTATATTAGGGTAGAGCAATATTTTTTTTTATCGATGAATAATAGTAATCAAAGCTATTTATTTGACACGAAAAATGTGCAAACTTAATTAGAATCTTAAAAAAAAGTTTCTGCCCACAAAAAGTTATGGCAAATGAGCAATTGAACATATTTTCACCATTAAAAAATCAAAATTTCTTGCCCAAAATTTTAGTGACTTTAAACTTCGCTTTTTACTTACTTTCACTAAAATCGATATACACTTGAAATAATTGACACAGAATAACTTATGCGCAATATGATAACTATGGCGCATTTTCATATTTATTTCGAGTGTATGTTTTAAATAAAAATTTAATCAAGGGCTTTTACCACGAGACAATATTTTTCTCGTGTTACAAATTCGGTTATTATTTGATTATGTTTAATATTCAAATAGCTCATAGCTTAACATTAGTCTAGTTAAAAAAAATTAAAGTAAATGTACCGTGATGCAGAATTTTATGATCTTATTTAATATCCGGCTTCGAAATTGAGATTGATGTATTATTTGAAACTTGTTAGCAACGAGAAAACTGTTTTATTTAGTTTATAAAAACAGCTGAGCATAATCACTGAACGAAAAAATTTCAATGGATTATTTGATTGGTTTTCATCTCGCCTTTTGAATTATGCCATATTTAAATGTTCAAAGTTTTTCATTTCGCTGAAGTATAGCATTTTTTGTGGGATGCGTTTTTGTAGTTTAAAATTTAATAAATCGACTTCACTTGAGTCATTTAGAAAATTGTTTGCTATTTACCATCCTCTTACCTATGAGGTGACACTCGACGCTTTATAAGGGACAATAGTCAATGACAACGTAAACGTGTTGCTCTGCGATCAAAAATACAGATTTTTTCATGAATTAAACAAACTGCCTACAAAATTTCACTTAACCGTGAGCAAAAAAATGCCAATTTAAGAATATTTTCGACTCGACTTCTTACCTCAACGACCTCTTATACAATGATAGCGGTACACGCCGCATATTTGATCACGCGCAATGTCATGGTGCCCGCCTGCTCTCTCTCTCTCTCTCAGCTGAGCAAGACGAGCACGCGTTATACATTATTATGCGCTATTACATTATATCATTACGTATACGAATTTCGATAGCTTATCCCGGTATCGTTACTACAGAGATGAGATGAGCGCGCGGGCGGAGAGGAGGAGGAAGACGATACCGATTTTTTTCTAGTATAAAAGCTGGGCGTCTGGCCGGATAAAATCATTCAGTGCTCCAACAGCAAACAACCAACAACAACATGAAGTCCACTCTTCTGGTTTTGGTGAGTTTGTCTAGGAGGCCTAGTCTTCTCCGCTTACATTTATACGTAAAAGGGGCTCGTCGTAGAAATTTATTTCGAATCAGTGAATCTTGTGGTTTTCGAGGAATAAATTTTGTGCCTCGGATCAAGTGTGATTTACATAATACAGTTTTACGGATTAGTGTGAATAGAACGAAATTAAGTAATTGTTAAATCACGAGTTTACAAGTGTTCGTTTGATAAAAAATTTGAGATTGATTTGAGATTTGTCGAGTCCATCGATGGCGAGGTGCTTCTGATTAATTGCAGTGAAATACGATCGCTTGATACTGCAACATGACGAATAAAATCATCTACAGTTACGAGCCGAATACTTAATACTATTTTCTCTCCTTCCACAGGCCCTCTTCGCCGTTTCGGCATTCGCCGACATCCTCCCCGGAGATCCGCGTTACGGTACCGCGTACCACCGTGAGCACCATCATGCTCATCACGAGCAAGAGGTAGGATACCCCGTCCACGAAACACCCAAGGGCAGCTTCGAACTTCCATCAACCAGCTACGGAACTCCATTCAAACCAGAAAGCAGTGTAAGTGTGAAATTGTCTAAGTGGAAATTTCGATATCAGCAAGTGAATCATTGTCATTTTTCTTTGTCAACAGGACAACCACCACTACGAAGTCCAAAAAGTAGCTCCAGTCCCACATGAAGTATACGGACCACCAAAACAATTCGCACCAGCACCAGCACCAGTGCCAGTCCCAGCTCCAGCTCCAGTCCACTACGAGCCAGCACCAGCTCCAGCCCCAGCTCCAGTCCACTACGAGCCAGCCCCAGCACCAGCCCCAGCTCCAGTCCACTACGAGCCAGCCCCAGCACCAGTCCACACATACGTGCCAGTGCAGACTCCAGCCCCAGCTCCAGTCCACTACGTGCCAGTCCAGGCTCCAGCTCCAACCCATGTGCCACACCAAGTCTATGGACCACCAAAGGCCCTCCCAAGCCACCCCGCTCCAGTGCCAAGCCACCCAGCCCCAGTGCCAAGCCACCCAGCCCCAGTTCCAAGCCACCCGGCCCCAGTTCCAAGCTACCCAGCTCCACAACACCCAGCTCCAGCCTTCCCATCCAAACCTCGTAAGTATTGATATAAATTTATAAAAATTCATACACCTAAGTTTCAAATTTTAAACTATAAATTGTTTTCTTCTAGTCCCAAGCTTCCAGCTCCCAAGCTTCCAGCTTCCAAGCTTCCAGGTCCCAAGCCAGCAGCTCGGACAAATCGCCAACCACTTCACCTCCAAACTGAACAACAACCAGTTCTCTCAAAAGCTCAACAACAACCACTTCTCCCAGAAGCTCAACAACAACCACTTCTCCCAAAAGCTTAACCAAAAATTGGGTTAGTATTAAAGAACAAATTTTCAAGGTAACAACTATTCGAATGATGCTAAATGATTTTTATTGTTTGATTTCCAGGCGGTCTGATGAACGCACTCCCAATGTTGCCCCAGATCCGTTTCCCATCTTTCATGAAGCAAGCTCCAGTCCAGCAATACTTGCCTGGCCCAGCACCACAAGCTCACCCACAACCAGCACCACAGCCCCCCAAGGTATACGTGCCACTCCCAGCCCCAGTCCCAGCACCAGCTCCAGTCCAGAAGCCAACCATCGTCTACGTGCCAGCCTCAACCCCAGCTCCAGTCCAACAAAAGCCAACCATCGTCTACGTGCAAGCCTCGACCCCAGCTCCAGTCCAACAAAAGCCAACCTACGTGTACGTGCAGCAGCCAGCTCCAGTCGCCCCAAGCCACCAAATTACTGGATCCTCCCAGACCACCTCCGAGCACCACGAGCAGCACCACGTCGTTGAACACCACCAACAGACCACCAACCAACAAGCCACAGACTCCAATGGTGGATACCTCTACTAAATAGTTATTAAGTAAATTAATTTAAGTAGGAATGCTTATAAATGTACAAAAGTAGAGTGATAAACATGTTTGATAATTTTGAGTGATTATTTCACTTGTATTCATGATAATAATAATATCACGAGGCATGGATGAGTCTCGTATAACGATTGTAATATATGACGATGACATCCGATCCTAATCTTGTTGATTATTATTTTATCGGATGTAAAAAAACAAAACATAGGAACAATAAAATCTATTATTTTTCCATAAACAATCGCTTGTTGTATTAAAAAAAAAAATATTATCCACCCCTCCACATCTGCGAACTCGACTTTCGCTCCATAAAGTTCTCAATATACATAATTTTTTTCATCTTATTCAAAAATATAGAAGATATCGTACATGCTATAATCAACAACAACATGCCGGTCGTGGTCATCACCAGAGCTGGCACTTTTTTTTGGGATTCATCGGCGAGCCCACGGGACAGCTGAAGGCCCGACTGAAGTGCTCGGAATTGCGCAATACCTGCTGCAGCCTCACGCGGCCAGGACAGTGGGAGTGTTGCGAAATCCAGATCAGCAGCCCGTCATCGGTTAAGGAGTCACACCACATCTGTAAAAAAATCAAGTCAACTTTCATCGATCTTACTTATCGTTGGGTTTATATTTTAGCTCGCTTGAAAAACATTTCGAAAAAATGTCACGACACATGAACGGGATTATTTACGTGTGCGTAGCTCAGAAAGAAGAGCTGCTCGTGAGTGAAATTGCCGAACCCGGTGAGCAGCGGTTCGTCGCCGTGCTTGGACTTCCAGATCCGATAGGCCTCGTAGGCCTGCCTCAGACCGCCGTTGTCGGCTATGTTCTCGCTAAGCGTGAGCTTGCCGTTGACGTACTTGTCGATCTGAACCGAAAAATTTCATCGTTGCCATAAATCGTCACCCTCAAAATGTGTCACAGTGTATTGATGCACGCACCTCAGGAAGGTAGTAATCGTCATATTGTTCGACGAAGCAGGTCGCTTTGGTCGTGTATCTGGCGATCGTCTCGTTGCTCCACCACTGCTTGAGATTGCCGGCGCTGTCGAAATGCCGGCCCTCGACGTCGAAACCGTGAGTCGTCTCGTGACCAAGTACACTGCCCATAGCTCCATAATTCAGGGCTCTGGGAGAAAAAAAAAATGAATCGTAAGCGGTTTTACGGCGGGTCGGTGAGACGAGCGACACTTACTCGAGACCCAGGCCGTAAAAGGGAAACCGCAGGATTCCAACAGGAATTTCTATGGGTTTTTATTTTTCGCACGCAATGCACGATACACCAGAGAATGAGCAGCAGAAAAGGAGTAGTGAATTATGTTTTTTTAAATTATAAAATAGCAGAGAATATTATATGATAGTACTCGTATGTATACCTATTAAATTCGTTGTAATAAGAGCAAGGGCATTGACCGTGATTGGGTCCATGAACCAGCTGCAAAATATAACTTTTTTTATCAGTCTTTTGGCATTTGTATCTGTTCTGCGCAAGCTTATTGTGAAAGTAAAAAATGAAATTCAGACTGTTTACTTGAATGAATATAAGGAGCTTAAACAATTTAGAAAAAAGACTCAAACCAAGCAAACTCTAGAAAAGCCTTGAGGCATTTGATTGCAATGAAGAAAAGAGAGAAAAGATTACTTGTCGTGTGTATCGTTTTTCGACAAATTCATCAATGTCTTGATGTTCTTGGCGCGTATTATCTGCAGCATGTTGTCGAAATAGGTGTCCTTTGTGATATTGATCTGTGTCAAGAAGAGCTCGTCATTTATTACAAATGCAATTCACAAAACAAAGAAAGGAACAATTACCCCTCCGTAATACTCGTCCAGCCGTCCATCCTCGAACAGCCAATCGGGAAAACCGATGAGGGACTTCATCTTGTGAATTTTTTCGAGCGTCGCCAACTTCGTGGCTTCGTCCATCCAGTCGATGTCCTTCAGCACGAAATCCACGAAGGACCGCTTGATGTTTTCGAGCATTTCGGCGACGTGGTCGGGCGAGAACGTGGGCTCGGCGAAGAGCCAAGCCACCGCCATACCCATCAGCTCCTTGACCGATTCCGAGCAGTGGATCGAGCGGGCCTTGCGCTGGCCCAGTCCCGTCTCGTCCTTGAGGATATTCGAGATTCTGCGCAGCCCCCAGGACGTGTGTTGCACGCAGTGCACGACGACCCTCAACCAGACCATCGTCTCTGTCGTGCAATGGAGATTAATCGCAAAAGAATTTTATACGGAAAATTCAAAGTGATATCAATGATTTATCATTTTCTTTAGGTAATGAGTTTTTTTTTGACCAAGTAAAAAAATTTTATAAAGTTTTTATAAAATTATCGCTTTATAAAAACTTTATAAAAACTTTATAAAAAAATCGAAAATTTTGTTTCTTTTATAAAGTTTTTATAAAGCGATAATTTTATAAAATCGATTTTATAAAAACTTTATAAAATTTTTTTACTTGGGTGATTTCTCTAACGGAAATTATCTTTTGTTATAAAATGTTATTTACTTTTAAAATTTTTTATTAACTTTTAGTAAATTTTATTAATTGATAAAAACATTCGGATTTCTTAATTTTTTGATAAAGAAGTGTGACTATCTTCAAAAGGATCGGACCAATACTTTTTACGTTACATTTCTTACCGATTCATACCGATGTCATTTTGATAAATCGCTGTTTCAAGATACATTTTTCATCTCTCGAAATGACATTTTTCACATCGGGGAAAAAACGTAAATCAATTAAGTATGCGTATGAGTCTCGATTACCCAAGAGCTGCTCGTCCGTTGACGACAGCACGAGCGCGATCTCCTGCAGAAACTCGAGATCGCCAACGTAGACTTTGTGCTGGGTCAGATCGAAGTCGATCTCCAGCCCTCGGAGCAGCTCCTCGACGAAGGGCCGCCACAGCGGCCTCGGCACGATCGACTTATTGACGGATCTCACGTAGTCGTCGGTCAGCCTCTGCAGCTCGTCCAGCAGCATGTAGTTCGCGTCATCGACCTCCTCTGGTTTGTCGCTGAAGTCGCTCGACTTGTTAGCGTATCTACTGTTGATCTATCGAAGAATAAAGTGAAAAAAATTAATTTTTACATATCGAACGGAAAAATTCCGTATGAGAATCTCACTTTATTCGTGACCCCTGCAAAATTGACGACCTGATCCACGAGATCGGTCATCTTGGCTATTGTTGCGTTGTCAAATTTTTCGGGCGACTTGCAGCTGTAGAGCGAGTCGCTCGTCCCGTTGCCGACAACGTGCTTGAGCAACTCGACCAAGTAGAGCTTCTCCATCGCGGAGACAGTCTCGTTGCTGCTCTTGCTGTCTCTGGTTAGATCGTCCTCCTCCAAGACGCTCCTGTCGCGCGGGAAGGGCGTGTGCGCGCGATCCGGCAAATCGAGCAACAGTAATTTCTGTCTGTTGTCGCGCGGATCGGCGTGGACTTCCAGCCCGAAGAACATGTCGGACCATAGCAGCCTCTTGACCCGCGCCATCTGCTTGACGAAGTCCTCGCTGCCATCGTCTTGGCCACTGATTATTTGCCTCGGCACCCGAGGCAGTCCCAGCTCGGCCAACAAATCGAAGAGAGGCTCGAGGCCCAGTTTGTACTGGGCCTGTACGTCGAGGCAGCTGAAGTACAGAATCTGGGCCTCCTTCACGGCCCGGGGTACTTCCGGTCTACGCTCGGTGAAGTTCTGCGCCATGAGGTCGGGTATGCGTCGCAAAATACGAGTTTGTCGTTCTGATAACCAATTTTGCGATCGGTCGCCGTCGGGGATAGGATGCGACTCCGGCCATCTGCCGCACACGTATCTAACATTTGGAATGCATAATACGTAATTTAAGGGGAGGCTCTCATGAGACTCGATCAAAAAATCGATTTTTTTTGCTTACTTAGTTAGCAAATGTCCCGTAGAATACACCCCCGAAACCCTTTTTACCAAAATCGATTTAGTTAAAAAGTTATAGGCCAAAAACCGAAGCTGTCTTTTTACGAGGAAACGATATTTGTATGTATGTAAATTCACTTTCTAAAACTTTAAACGCGTTTTTCTCGAAACTATGATTTCGGAATCGGGCGGCAAGATATCTCGAAAAGTACTGCACTTAGAGATACGCTTTTTTTTTATTTTAAAGCTAATTAAATTGTCTGGAGGTTGAACCTATAAAATTAAAAATTTTTTCATTATTATTACTTTTTATAGCCCTTAAAAGAGCCAAAAAAGGGCAAAAAAAAAGAAATTTTTTTTCCGAAGTCCGCCATTTTATCAATTTTTAATTTTTTTGCAATTATTTAGGTTCAACCTCCAGCAAATGTCATCTAGTTTAAGAGGAACTTCGCATTTTTAGTTTCGGGCAAAAACTGAAGGCGCTAGCTTGCCGCCCGTTGAGATACCTTTTTTTAACACGACCTCCACCAAACGCTGCTAGGCGATAAATAATTCGATATTTTGGTCTGAAAAAATTTGTAAATATAGTTGAATACATACTTTATAAGTACCAAAAAACTTGACTACATTATTCACTTCGTTCCACGGAAAAAAAATCACGAAAAACACGTCATTTTTGAGGCGCTAGATGAGAGCCTGCCCTTAAATAATTGAATCGTAAATGTTACTAGCATTATGAATATTACTCACTTATGAAAATCATCGCACGGATCTACGGACGTATTCATGGACTCTTTCAAGCTCGAAGCTAAGTAATAAAAATTGAAACAATAAGAAGTTTACTTCTTCGAGATAGCTCCCGCACACGCACGCGTGTGTGGAGTGTCGTATGTAGTGCAGGGGCACTTTGTTATACACTCACCCATTCGCACGCATTCCTCGTTGTCGCACAAAACCACGGGCTTGCTGAACTTGGCATCTAGAAGCATTTTTTACGACGATGTTGATAACATACGATGCGGTGTTTTTTATCGTGACGTCCGATAACGTATACTTACACATCGCGCCGAGAGTCAGACACGCCATCGTCAACGCCGTGAACGGGAGGACAACGAAAAGCAACGGTAATATTCTACGATGCTTTTTGAAACTGCATGTATTTTTTTACGTGACAAAATTATAAACGATCTTTCGTATGTAATAATACTAATGCGATTCGTGTGTATACGTACAAGGATTTTTTCGATTTCACGTCTACGAATTTTTTTGGCCTCGTCCTTTTGACGTAGTCTCCAGCAGCGGCGGCCGAGTACCCATCGACATCGTCATCGTTGTAGCTATTATTATTATAACTATCGTAAGGATGGGTGACGACGACGACGGCGGCTTCGGTCGGATGATCGCTCATTATATCGGGGTAGATGATTCAGTGACTGATTGACCAAAGTGGCAGGCGACGGCTCGCATCAGAGAACGACGAGCGAACTAAATATGATAATATCGAATTTTTTTCTCTCGCGTCCAAATGAGCGACAGATGTCATGGTGCACACGAGTAAGGGCAGATCGATCGAAATATTAGATGGCTCGAGGACTAAGCTTTTCCTTTCTTTTATTACTGTACTTGCTATCTACGCTTCATCGCTTGGAAAAATTACTGTCTTTTTTGCAATTTTCTTTTTTGTATCCGTACATTATCTACAGGTGTTTATGACCCATAAAAAAAGTTATTTTCTCCGACTAAAGGATATGAACCTGTAACAATATCGATACATACCTTCGATTGGCCAATGTTTGCTATTGGTTGAATGCATCTGGATCGCAAGTATAGTACAAAACCACAAGCTATACCTGCAACGCGTAATGCAGCTTGCACTGCCTTTTTTCTCTTTCTCATTACGTCGAGGACGTTCATGCAAACGTTTTGATAAAGTAAATTTTCACTGCAATAATATATGTAACCCATCAAATTCTGGAACATCACCTGTTCTTTTGGCGAAAATGCGCGCGATCTCGATGAATGTCGGGCTGACCACTGTGCTGTTCCACTTGTCCGATGTATTGTTTGGATGCATCACTTAATTATCAGACAATGATCGTGCGAGCCCTTTTTCCCATCGATTTCTTCATCTTCGACATCTACGCTAGGCCGGAGTGAAAAAAATCTTTTCACGTCGTTCGTCTTGTAATAGCCAATAGAACGTTACTATGACGTAAAAAAACTTATCCTATATATTACTCCTTGAAAACTTTTTAAACGTTTTTGCGTCCCCAATTTTTCTGATTTCGATTTCTAAAAAAAAAAAAACATATATATATATATATAATATATATATATCCAAAAAATTGGTCGTTTTTTACGATTTCGCACGTTTTAAGCCTTTTTTACATTTTTTACACATTCTTCTTTTGTGGCGTGCACCAAGAGCCCGTTCTGGCCTCTGTTGGAACTTCTTCGGGAAATTTTTTTTCTCCTGTTCTCGCGGATGAGTTTGTGGCGAATAACTTGAACGTGTCGACCTGGTGCACCGAGTCCCCGTTCTGGCCCTCGTTGGAACTTCTTCAGGGAATTTTTTCGTTCTCCTGTTCTCGTGGATGAGTTTGTGGTGGAGATCTTGAACGCGTCGACCTGGTGCACCGAGTCCCCGTTCTGGCACCTGTTGAAACTTCTTCGGGGAATTTTTTTGTTCTCCTGTTCTCGCGGATGAGTTTGTGGCGAAGAACTTGAACTTTCTTTTATTTGTTGATTCTAATAAAAATTCATTAATCCCATATTCGAAAACAATATATCAAACTAGACTTTCGACCAAGAAAAAAATGTACATTTGAAAATTATTATTTATCTTAAAGTAATGTAAAAGAAAAAGATATTAATGTTTATGAATTAAAAGCAGACAAGTTAGTTATTTAAGTATATAATTACAGATAAGTCAAGTGAACGGGTACAATGATCTTTAGTATTTGTCTGTATTCTGTGAAAAATTTTCATCGCTAAAATGAAAATTAAAAAATTCAGGCCATGGAAATTTTTTATCAGAAACCTTTATTATGTCGACTATAGCGTAAACGATTGCTTTCTTTAAGGAAACACACCTGTGTTTATGCCTATAAATGCAAAAGCATGAAAATTAAGGATTAATATTAAAATTTTTTGTTTCGGAAGATACCATATGTTTTTGCAGGTTTTTGTACAACAAAAAATATGTCTGTGGATCCTATTATTATTAAAATTCATCCAGGATACATATATATTGACTTGTAATTTTTAAGTCCTTGTCAAGATGATTTTGATAATATTTAATCAATATTTAATCAATGATCCTTTAGGTCTCAAAATTTTTATAATTAAATTCTTTTCCACTCAAGTGTAGCAGATTTTTTATTTAGTTATTTTTTAAATCTACTAATCTCCAAATTTTTTATAGACCTATTTCGACGTACAAATTAAAGCCCTTTTAGAAAGTCACTGTACTATATTTAAGACGAGAAGGAGAAATGATGTTTCGTTCAGTTAAATCTATCAAGTTCTTGGGTTATTTTGTATTCAATGAATCATGACCAATTACATAATATATCGATAAACATGATTCTATTATATTCTATTATGTTTCAACATCTAAATTTGTTCAAAATTTAAATATTTCATAAATATGTCTTATAATATTCTTACTCCTCCAATATTTCTTACAATTTCTTTGAAACAATCTGAGACCGAGCGAGCGTTAGCGAGCGAGGAACGCCGCTAGTTTTTATTATCGATCGCGTCTTCCCTAACAGAAATGATCATTTCATCCACAAATTTGTAAAAATCATTCTTCAACGATCAATTTAGGGTAGCATGTCAGGTTTATCAAAAGTCAAGTATGCAAACAATTTACGCATAATTTTGTTTGAGTTTAGCAATGAAGCACCGTCATGATCAAAGATGTAATGATATTTAACACCATGGGCTTGGGGTGATTCGAATCATTTCAGCATAATTTTTATTGTTTAAAGGTATTTACAATTGTCAATCATCATCACTTTTCGAATTTTTCAAAAGCAAAATCTTTGCGAATAGCGTGTACTGTCCTCTGGTGGTATAGCAAATATGATTTTTGCCCGAATTTTTTCTCGCATTTCTCGCAACCGTAATCTTTGCGACCCTCGTGTACCGTTTTTTGGTGCTTCAACAAATCCGATTTATATCCAAATTTTCTCTCGCAATAGTCGCATCCATAATCTTTTCGACCTTCATGGACCACTTTTTGGTGCTTCAACAAATCCGATTTATATCCAAATTTTCTCTCGCACTTGTCGCATCTGTAATCTTTGCGACCCTCATGGACTGCCTTTTGGTGCTTCAATAAATCTGATTTACTCGCACATTTCCTCTCACAATTTTCGCACGAGTAATCCTTGCGACGATCGTGAACTCTCTTTTGGTGTTGCGACGATTCTGATTTAGTTCCAAATTTCTTTTCACACCTGTCGCATGCGAAATCTTTGCGACCTTCATGTATGACCTTTATGGCTCTCTTAAGGGCTTTGCCCAAGTGCTAAACCAGCCGGGTCCGAGTTTTTCATAACCACCCGAGAGTCGGTAACTTGTCGACTTTTGTCGACAAGGCTAAGTAGCTGGTTACTGCTAATTGTCGGCTCTTGGGTTGCCAGCCCAAGAGTTCGCTTTGTCGTTGGCGCAATGAATAGTAACAGAAACTTCTGTGGATCAAGTGATCCACCGCTGGCGGACCCTCGGGTCAATCGGATCGCCAGCCCAGCGGCAGCAAATACGCGAGATGATGCCGAAGCACCAGAGGCAGAAAGGGCAGCAGTAAATTTCACCTGTACTGTCTGCAGCAGAGTTTTTACCACGCAGCGTGGACTTAGTGTACATTTCCGACAACACCCGAATGAAGCCAATGCGCGGATTGAGATATCGAGTAGAGGAAAACATTGGAAAGAAGATGAGATGCAATTACTTGCGAAGGAGGAGGCGCGGGCGGCGATTGATGGAGTTCACTTCATCAATAAGCACCTCTGCCGACGCTTTAATGTTGATCTTGTGAGGGTCCAAGGCCTTCGAAGGAAAGACACCTATAAGCAGATGGTACGTGACTACAAAGCCGTGCTGCAGGCCTCAAGTGACGCAAATGACAATACCTTAGCGTCCTCCTCATCTTCTAGCGTAGAGGTCATCGTTACGCCACGGAACATCGATTCCAATAATAATGAAGTGGACGGCAGTTCGTCCGGCTGCGATTCTTTCAGGCAACGCTCGATCTTCGAAGCGATTGGTGCCTTGATTCGCAGATCGGCGAACATTACCACGCACAAGGCTGATGTAATTAGGGGCATCGCCGAAGCCGTCCTAAGGGAAGACCAAATTTCATCTGTCGATGTCTGTGTATGGCTCGACCAGGTCTTCCCTTCCTCTACTACGCCTTATCCTCGTCGTCGGTGTTATAGCCGGCGACAGAGGAAGAAGATCTCGAAGCGAAGGGCTTCTGACGGGTGGAGAAAGAGGCGAAGAGAGTACGCAAAGATGCAGGAGCTGTTTGGCAGCAAAATGTCAGCAGCCGCGAAATTAGTCCTGGATGGCCCTATTAGGTCGGTGTTCCCTTCGATGGAGGAGATGGTTTCTTTTTGGGAGCCAATTCTCACTACTCCTTCGAAGGAGCTTGACGGTGTCACAGCCGTCGAGAATAGGGACCTCCAGTGGATAGCGGACCCTGTATCGATGCGTGAACTCCTAGCCTGCGAGGTGCCTTTGTCATCTGCACCCGGTCCTGACAGCATTACGTCGCGTCAGTGGCGTTCTGTTCCGATCTCTCTTAGAGCATTGTTCCTGAACGTTATCCTCGCGCTTGGCGGTTTCCCATCAGACCGCCTCTTGAGCCGGACGATATTTATACCTAAGAAAGACGGCAGCTCGCTACCATCAGAGTTCCGTCCCATTAGTGTCTCCTCTGTTGTCGTTCGTCATTTACACAAGGTCTTTGCTTCGCGTCTTATGCGGGCAAATCTTGTGGACGAGCGGCAGAGAGGCATGCATGATGGCTGCGCGGAGAATATCACTGTGCTTAGCACAATTCTCCGCGACGCAAAGTCATCGTTGAAGGAACTGNAAATATGATACCCCTGACATTCGTCATCAGGTCGCCAGTGAGTATGGGGTCGAGAACGATAACATCTCGTTCTCTTCGATCACGATCTCCTGGCGGGGTATCTGGTCCGCTGCTTCCGCCGCGAGTCTGTGCGAACTCGG